GACCTGTTATAAACAGACCAGGCCCGTTATGCAGAGATCAAACCTGTTATGCAGACCAATGGTGAGTTATATAAAGACCAGGCATTAATACAGTGATAAGGCCAGTTACATAGAGACCAGCCCAGTTGCTCAAAGAACAGCCTTGTCCTTCATTCAAGGCACCTCCATGGTCTTATTCCCCCCTACTTCTTCGACTTCATAAAAGCACATCAGAAAGTCTGCTCCCTCCACTCGCAGACACCGGCCTGTTTTAGTTCACCTGCAATTCCTGCCCCACCTTTGGAGGTCAGACATTCAGCATCTCTGTCCCCACACTCTCCAACTCTACCCGCATTTCCTCTGCCTCACATCCTTCAAGTCCCGCCTGAAGGTCTTTGTCGTCGACCATGCCTTCAATTTCAAAAGCCCTCATTGCCTTACACGGCCATTCGTCCGCCACCTCCTTCAACACAACTGACCCGTCTACAACATTCACTCAAAAAACGCCGGCAGCTTCATATCACCCCCAACCCAACCCAATATCCGCCTCACTGTGTGAGATTTCAGCCATTGTACACCACGCACTCCGGAAAACCATCTCAGAGATATTAGGTCTGTCTCAGAGCCTCAAACTAATCCAATTGATGGCGCTTTTTGTCATACTCCCACCCTTCCCCCCATCCCCACCCCAACATGCACACCACGCTTCCACACAGTCCAAAGCCTTCCTTGCTCGCGTGTCCTTGTCACTGTAGAAGGCTCTCTCATCTTCTCTTGGGATCAAAGTCACAATCATCTGATTTCACAAGAAGTGACTGTAGGAGAGGGTTTGGCAGCTCAGTGACTGGGATCCGCCTACACTCTCATACTGAAACCGAAACCAGTTTCAATCAGGAAGTGCTGAGGTACAAAATGGCTTCGGGACTCCAGGCTGAGACCTGGACCGAGGAGATCATTTGCCCGGTTTGTCTGGATTTCTTCACTGATCCTGTTAGTCTGGGCTGTGGCCACAACTTCTGTCGCTCCTGTGTCACCCGGAGCTGGGAAAAGCAGGAGAACAACTGCTGTGCTGTTTGTCAGGAGACATTTCCAGAAAAGAACCTCAGAGCCAGTTGGGCCTTGGCGAGTCTTGCAGAGAAAGCTCGAAAATTGGGCCTCACGCCGACACAGACGGAAAATAAACTTCACTGTGAGAAACACCGGGAGGAACTGAAGCTGTTCTGTGAATCTGACATGAAATTGCTGTGTGTAGTTTGCAGTCATGGGCAGGAACACAGAGGTCACAGTTTCCTCCCCATTGAGGAAGCTGTTCAATTCTACAAGGTAAGAATATACCTGAAGAGGGAGTATTTCTATTCGGCTTGATATTTTCACACACAAACACTTTAATTCTGTGTATTTATTCCAGGATAAAGTGAAACACGTCTTAGATTCTCTCACACATAGGAAGGAAACTGCTCTAAAAGCTGAAGCCAAAAAGAGAGAAAAGATTTCACAACTGAAGGTGAGATTTAACAACTGATATCTCAGTTTCTCAATTTACTGTGTGTACCCGTTGTGATATCTCAGTGTCTCTGGTTACTGTGTGTATACGCTGTGTTGTCTCAGTATCTCTGGTTACTGTGTGTACACGGTTTGATGTCTCAGTGTGTCTGATTACTGTGTGTATACGGTGTGGTGGCTCAGTGTCTCTGTTTACTGTGTGAAATAAGTTGATGTCTGACATTTGCAGGAAAAGGTGAAGAGTGTGGAGACCCAAGTCACGGCTGAGTTTGCTAAAATGCACCAGAGTCTGACTGACATAGAGCAGCGAGTGATGCGAGATCTCAGACAGCGAGAGGAGGAGATTTTAAAACGAATGGAGACAAATCTGCGAGAGATTCAGGGCAAATTAGATTCTACTCAACAAGAGCTCTCCGAGTTACAGACGCAGATGAAAAAAGAGGATCTCACCTTCCTGCAGGTAAAGAGGTGACCTTATAATATAGTTCAGTCACAGTTACACACAGTCTGGGGCAGACAATCACAATCTGACTGTTACACAGATCAGTGATGAATTGTCTGTTATATTCTGGTGTGTGTTTTTAAGCAGGTCGCACTGTGAGTGTAATGATTGTTTTGGTGAGCCGTGTGTACAATACATGTGGAAACCCATCAACGTCATTCAGTTTATCCAAACCACACTGAGAATTCCACCCACGCATGAAAATCCCAGAGATAAACGGTTGAGATGGTATGAGCTCTCTCTATCCGAAAGCTCAAATCCTATTTACCTCATTCTGTAATGATTAAGCCCGAGGTTGTCCAGAACAAAGATTTAGGGGGAGCCCGCTTTTTGTGTTCGGTAACTGCTGGAGTCTAACCATCTAAATCCACAAACCCTCCAGTTGGGAATTTCGCTGTCGGATTAATAGGAAATGAATGGGAGGATTTCCTTCCCCCAGTAACTGATCGGCACTCCCTGGTGCTGCCGATGAGCCAGGCCGGGCTGTGCTGCCATCAGCACTGAGGACCCTGGGATAATATGGCTATAGACCATCTAAGCGGCCTGGCTTCATTCCCATATTTCATTACCATGCTTGCCACCTATGGGCCAGTTCAGCTTCGAGGAGACCCCGAGTACCACACACCCTTTCCCTTGCACCACACACAAGAAGGTAACTTGGGTTTTCGTGGAGCAGATCTGGCCCACCACTTTCTTGTTGCTTTGTATCCGGAAGCCGTGTCGTTTGAGTGAGAAACGTTGCTGTAAATATGAAAGTAAACTGTGTGATGCGGAATTCTATGATGGGTGACTGAGTTTGTCCTGTCGCGTCTCAGTGTGGGCTGACATCTGTCTGTGTTTGATTTCATTAGGAGGAAGCCGCTGGCAACAGAAGGTATGAAATGATCTTTACCAAATATCCCAGAATTGAACCCACAAACCCACAAGATGCAGTTTCACTTTATAATGTGATTTTGTCTTATTTCAGGGTCAGTGACGAGGGGTTTGATCTGTCGGTGTGTGAGGCTGAGCTGCCTGTGGGGATATATAAAGGGCCTATACAGTACACAGCCTGGAGACTGATGATACACGGCATCAGCCCAGGTAAATGTCTGCCATTCTCACTCTGAAGCCGTGTTAATAGACGTGCATTCAGCTGGATCTCAACACATACCCTCCACACAGTACCTCATACATACACATACCGACTCCTCACTCACATATGCACGTAATCGCAACACCCGCACAGACACCCGCATACCTCACGCACACGCCTTGCACACACACAACACACACACACACAACGCTCAGACATAACTCTCTCTCACATCTCACACACATATGAAACATACAACCCCTCACAACACTCCTCAAACACTCCCCTCACACACACCACACACACACCTCACATACACCTCATATACACCTGTCTCAGACACACTTATTCACGCCTCACACACTCAAATCTTAAGCACACCTGAAAGCGTACACAACACACATATATCTGACACACACACACCTCGCAATACTAATAAAGCTCACATAGAACGTTCACACACACATCTCACACAAACCGTACACAACCCCCTCAACCACACCTGACACACAACCCTCAAACACGACTCTCACATACGCACCGCATACGTTCACAGCTCTCTCTCACACCTCTTACAAACATCCCCTCACACACGTCTCACCCACAAACACACTTCACACACATACACATCTCAAATGCATCTATTACTGACTTAACCCTGAAACACACATCACTCACACATTCACACCTTCTCATGCACAGCCTCACACACAACCTCACACACACCCTCATACACATACCCTGTATGTGGAGTCCTGTCGCTCAGTGGTTAGAGCACTCGCCTTCCAAGCGAGACACATGGGTTCAATCCCAGGCAGCGTGAATCCTTGGGCACGTTTGCTTACTCCTCACGCCTGATAATGATCCCTCCAAAAAACAAGAACAATATTAAATCAGTCGTTTTGAATCCACGGCTGTTTATGGCGATTCTGTTGTGTGCAATTCGCTGCCGCGTTTTGCCCAAAAATTTACTTTACATTACGATCTGTGAAGCGCTTTGAGACGTTAAGAAGACATGAAAAGCGCGATATCAAATGCAAGGATTATTATTATTATTATTATAAATATTATTACCCTGTCATGCACACACACCCTCACGCACTCACTCATACCTGTCACACCCCTTCCTCCCTCACACAGACCCTCGTACAGACCCTCACATGCACGCTCACACATACACTCACCTATCCCCTCACACAAAAACCCTCACAAAAACTCTCACATACAGACACCTCCCGCTCACACACAAACCCTCACATAAACCCTCACACCCAACAACTCACACGCATCGTCAAACACACCCTCACACATCAGCTCCCAACCACTCACACAAACCCTTACACACACCACTCACATTCACCCTTACAAACCTCACACACACCCCTCACACACACCCATCACACACAACCGTCACATACCCCCTCACACACATCCTCACACGTACCCTCACACATCCTCACATAACCCCTCTCTCATTCCCTCAAACACACACACAATCCTCTCACACAGCCCCCCCCCACACACACTCACACACACCCTCATACACATACCCTGTATGTGGAGTCCTGTCGCTCAGTGGTTAGAGTACTCGCCTTGCAAACGAGACACATGGGTTCAATCCCAGGCAGCGTGAATCCTTGGAAAAGTTTCCTTACTCCACACAACTGATAAGAATCCCTCCAAAAAAGAAAAACACGTACCCTCACACATCCTCACATAACTCCTCTTTCATTCCCTCAAACACACACGCAATCCTCTCACACAGCCCCCCCACACACACTCACACACACCCTCACACCAACCTTCACACATCCCCTCTCACATCCTCTCACACACAACTTCACACATACATTCACTCTCACACACCCTCAGAGGTGTGTACCCCTCACACGCACCCTCACACACACCCTCTCACACACTCACATGCAGCTCTCACGCAAACCCCTCACATACATCCTGATACACATCCTCACACACACGCTCACACGCACGCCTCAAATACCCACTCACAGACACACCTCACACACATCTTCACACATAGCTTGACACACACCCTCATACAATCCCTCTCACACCACCTCAGACACTCACGCGCTCATACGCCATCAGGAACCTCCTCACACAAACCATCACAAAAACCCTCCCACATGTCTTCACATAACCATTCACACACAGCCCCTCACACAAATCCCCACACAGACTCTCACAAACCACTCTCAACGCCCACACACAAAACCTCACAAACCCTCAAACAGACCCTCACACAAATCGCTCACACCCACCCCACACAAACACTCAAAAGCCCCTTCGCACACACACTCACACACACTCACATACATTCTCACACACACACCCCTCACACATCCACACACAAACACTCACATACATCCTCACATATCCCTTCACACACCCCTTCACACAGAGCATCACACAATCTCTCAACATACACTCACACACTCCCACACACACAATTCTCACACACACATTCACACACACCCGATCAAACACACCCTCACAAACAACCTCACACATCCTCAGACACACCGCCGCACACACTCACAACCTCAAACACACACCCTCACAAACACCCTCAAACACCCTGCTGACAGGCTCACCCTTACACATCCACTCACACACACCCTCACAATTATTCGCACACACATCCACTCACACACACACTCACACAGAAACTCACACATCCCCTCACACAGCCTCTCACATACACCTTCATAAAACCGCTCACACACCCTCCCCAACGCACACCCTCACACAAACCCTCACACACACACTCACACACACCCTCACACCGACTTTGACCCTCTGAGCTGGATTGTGCTTTTGATATATTCACACACATTCACATATGTGAATATTCACATATTCTGCTCCTGAGCTCTCAGACGTCGCCTCACTCCACGTTATGTTGTTTCTCTTTCTCAGCTCCGGCCTCTCTGACTCTGGATCCTGACACAGCCCATCCCCGGCTCATCCTGTCTGAGGACCTGACCAGCGTGAGTCACGGAGACACACGGCAGCAGCTCCCGGACTCCCCGAAGAGGTTTGATTACTGTTTCTGTGTCCTGGGGTCTGAGGGCTTCACATCGGGGAGACATTACTGGGAGGTTCAGGTGGACAAAAAGACAATGTGGAAGGTGGGAATTGCCAGAGAGTCTGTCAACAGGAAGGGAAAGATCAAGTATGCACCAAAGAATGGATACTGGGCTGTGTGGCTGAGAAACGGGGATGAATATAAAGCTGGTACCTCATTTCCCACCCGGCTGCACCTGAGAGAGAGACCCGGGAAGCTGGGAGTTTATCTGGACTATGAGGGGGGACAGGTGACATTTTACAACGCTGACAACATGTCTCATCTACACACTTTCACACAGACTTTCACTGAGAAACTTTATCCTTTCTTCTGTCCCGGTAAGAACGACGGCGGCAAAAACTCGGTTCCTCTGAGGATCTGCCGGTTGATAGATTAATGAGGAGGAAATCCTCAGCCATGACCTGTGTTTGGCTGTGATGGCCACCAGGCTGAACCTTTTATAATCCGTGTCATTATACAATGAAGCTTGTAGTTTATATTACACCTTTAACACTGGGCCCACGGCTCCAACATTTTTCGGGATCCACTGTGAAGCTTATGTTTTATTTGCGAGCCAATGTGGAGCCAATTTGCACAGAGAAAAGTCTAAAGTAAGTCACGTTTGACACCACAAATATCAAGCTGGAGCTTTCTGCTCCTGATCTCGACAATAATCCCCACATTGTACACAGCTCCTCATCACTTCTGCCATACCTCTCAATGCCCATCCCAGGCTTTCTAAATCTGCGTTAATCCCAATGATACTCAAGGGGTTTATCATTGACTTTCTGTTTAACTATTAACGCGCTCTCTGTGTACAACACGGGAAACGGTTTTAAAAGCCCCAATATCCGTGGTGTTTCAAGTGCAATAATTTAACAAACCCCAATATGTGCATTAAACACAATGATATAAATACGGTTTGGCACTAACTTTGGGTTTTGATTGCAATCCCACAGCCGGGGACAAACACGGGAAACGGGTGTAAATTCCCCCAGTTCCTCGATGCTTAAAGTACATCAGTGGGAAATATTCCTAACTCTGCATTAATCCCAAATATATAAACCCTTTTTGCACGAACTCTCTCCCTCTCTCTCACACTCAATCTCACTTTCTCTCTCTCTCTCTGTCAATCAGCTGCTGGAGGCTTTGCTACAAACAGGAGACAAATAGGGGCGGGGCCAGGTTTAGGGGCGTGGCCTGAGCTGGGGGCGGGGCGGGACCGGAGCAGAGGGCGGGGCTGGGTTGGGGCGGGGCCTGAGCTGGGGGCGGGGCGTGGTTTGGGGGCGTGGCCTGAGCTGGGGGCGGGGCTGGATTCGGTCACGGGGCCAGAGCAGAATTTTGATCTGTTGACCATATTTGGGTTTTAAAGCGAGGCCGTCACTGTCTTAAAGGGGAGACGAGGTTTAATGGGGTTAAAGCCCTTTTTATAATAATGACAGTAATCCTTGTATTTGACACAGAGTGTTATCACGTCTTCGGAACGACTCGAAGCGCATCACAGTATATACCGTCAACTGTCTCTGTAACAGGTCCTGTAGCTCAGTGATTAGAGCCCTCGCCTCGCAATAATAATAATAATAATCCTTGCATTTGATATAGCGCTTTTCACGTCAGGAGGACGTCCCAAAGCGCTTCACAGAACACACTGTAAAGTGAATTGACTGTATATTTGTGGGCGAACGCGGCAGCCAATTGCGCACAGCAATGTCCCACAAACAGTCGTAGATTGAAAATGACCAATTTAATTATTGTTTTTGGGTTTTTTTTGGAGGGATTATCATTAGGCACTGTGTAGAGTAAGGAAACTTGCCCAAGGTTTCGCCCTCTGCCTGGAATTGAACTCAGGTCTCTCACTTGCAAAGCGAGTGCTCTAACCACTGAGCTACAGGACTCCACCCGCAAGCCAGAGACAGGGGGTCAATCCCCAATTGGGGGCGAAGCCTTGTGCAAGTTTCCTCTCTATGCACAGACACACACAGACACACACACAGATTGAGACACGCGCACACAGGCACACACAATGATACACTCCGATACAGATACCGTCAGAGACACTCATACACAGACACACAAACACACAGACACACAGACAAACAGAAACAGAGAGACACACAGACACACACACACACAGCCCGGGACAGGCGGAGATCGCAATGTCCACCCGAGTGTCCATCACACAAGACTGGCTTGCTTCCCACATTGGTTGCCAACCTGCAGATCAACTCGAGGGAGACTCTGTTCACCTCCACTGAAGGAGTAGAAGGGATATCTTTTACTAAACACGCGCTTTGAGGCGTCTGTAAGACTCTAACAGCGCAATATAGAATGACAAGTTTATTATAATTATTATTTTGCTGAGAATACTGTGGGTAGTTACACAGTGCAGCATCGCCCTCTGGTGGAAGTAAAGTGCTGCTTCAGGTTTACGTGCGGGGCTGGAAAAGGATTTCACTCTGTAATAATAATAAAAATGATAATAATTCTTGCATTTGATCCAGTGCCTTATCACATCTTCTAGACGTCTCAAAGCGCTTTACAGAATACGCTGTCAAGTGATTTGACTGTACATATGTGGATGAAACGCGGCAGCCAATTGCGCACAGCAGCGACCCACAAACAGTCATGGATTGAGCGATCAAATTACCATTTTTTTTTCTTGATGGATCATTATTTGGCATTGATACACCCAACCACTCCCAGTGTTTCTCCTGTATACACATAGACTCTCTGTGGGTCTCTTCTGTATAAACAGCCACTTCCAGTGCCTCCGGTTGTATACACACAACCACTCCCAGCGTTTCTCTTTTACACACAATGTAATGGAGAAACTTCACACCTTCACACCTACCTCTCCCGCTGTCTCTCTTGTATACACACAGCCTCTCCCAGTGTTTCTCCTGTACACGTAGCCTCTTCCCGTGTCTTCCACTGTACAAACCAACCTCTTCCACTGCCTCCCTGTATATACACAGCCACTGCCAGTGTCCTGCCTGTATACACACAGCTCTCTCAATCTTTCTCCTGTACAAACAGCCTCTTGCAATATCTCCCACACACACACAGCCTCTCCCGGTGTCTCTCCTGTACACACACCGTATAAAAATATAAATAACTTTAATATTACATATTGTATAAATATAAGAATATAAATGCAGTATATCAAAACAATTGTATTCGTCTGACAGACTCACACGCTTGAAGGAAAATAAAATAATTCAGCAAAGTCTTTTGCAAACTTAATCAGCCGTAAGTTGTGATTAACACATTGAATCAGCCTTAGACAGGTATTACCTGATTTCTATCACAAGTGTTGGAGAAAATGTCTTATTTCCAAGGGAGGAAATGACGGATTTGGAATCAAACAAACTTACTTTGCCAATAATTTCATTTCTATTTGCACAATAAATATCTTCATCGTTAGAATATGAATCACTATCAAAAAACTGCATCAAAAGAAATTATATCAAACTGCAGACAGTATTTTGATTTAAGGAGAGTCCGTCCTCTTCTTAAAGGGGAGACTTGATTTTTTGTGCGATTAAAAAGTCTTTTTGTAACAACAATAAAATAGTAATTGTCTTTATCACCAGCGCCTTATCACGACTTTGAGACGTCTCAATGCGCTTCACAGGATAGTGTCGTGACTGAGTTTTTGCAGGATTCAATGCAAAGTGTCTTTGTAAAGTGTCCTGTAGCTCAGGGGGTTAGACACACAACCACACACAGTCACACACATATACACACACAGAGAGAGACACGCACACACACACACAGGCACAAACATACACACAAAGACAGCGATACACACGAGCATCAACGCAGACAGATACAGAGACAGACAGATGACAGACACAGACACAGGCACAGGCACACAGACACAGAAACGCAGACACAAACACACACAGAAACAAACAGACACACACAGACACACAGGACACTCACACAAACACAGGCACAGTGATACACACACTGACACACACACAAACACACACACACACAGGCACAGAAAAACACACAGAGACACGCACACACACACACACACACACACAAACACACGCACACACAGCCCGGGACAGGCAGAGATCACAGTGTCCACCCGAGTGACCATCACGCAGGAGTGGCTCCATTCCACATTTGTTGCCGAGCTCCAGATCAGCTCCAGGAAGACACTGGTTACCTCCCCTCGAGGAGGAGAAGGGAGTTGACTAAAGAAGCGCTTTGAGGCGTCTGCAAGACGTGAACAGCGCAATATCAAATGCCGAATTATTATAAATAGTATAATTACACAGAATATAATGAGCAGTTACACAGTGCAACACCACCGACTGGTGGCAATACTGTGGCACCGCAGGTTTTTATTTGTAATTTGAACCCAGACTGAATCACTGCAAATGATTATTTGCCTCAAATCCACAAGGAGAGAAGGAGAAGCAGTGAATTGCTGTCTGTGTCTGACCGCTCTTTAGCAGTAAATGCTGATAACCAGAACCAGGGAATGAGCAACACAACTAATGTCGTGGGATTCAGTGCGAAACAGTTTATTGACATAAACACATGAAAAGGAAAGAAAATGGATTCGTCAATTATAAGCCAACACTGACTAGAAGCTAAGAGTCCTGATCCTCCGTGAAGGAGGGGAAAGAAATGCTTTTTTTTTGTTTGTTGTTGAGAAACTGCGAAGCAACTCGGAATTTCTCTCTGTCCGTCGGCCTTGGACATCCTCCGGCGATGAGAGGCCTTCACACTCGGTCATGTTGTTTCTCTCTCTCTCTCTCTAACACTCTCTCTCACAATTTTACATTCTCTCTCTGTCTCTCACATTCTCTATCTCACTCTCTCTCTCTGTCTGTCATATATTCTCTCTCTCTCTCTCTCTCTCTCTCTCTCTCGCTCCCTCTCTCACTCTCTCCATTGCAGAGAGGCAGAGTGCATGTGGGAGAGAGACAGTAAAGGAATGAGTGACTCTCTGTGTTCATGGACCTAAAGTTTCAGGAGGTTGTCATCCCACAGCCACAGAGCGTTCAGAGAGACTATCTGTGCATGTGGTAGGAAGAGGGGACGGGCAGTAGAATTCACATGAATGTGTGGCATTAACACACGTGTCCGGTCAGGGTGATAACTCTGTGGAGAGGAGTCAATGGCAAATGGATGCTAAGTGGGACACAGAGAAGTGTTTCAATGAAACTGTCAATGGGGACAAATCCTTCAAACGAATAGACAGATGTTTCTCCCGTGGTCACAGAAGATGAGGATGCAGCCAATGCGACAGTATCGGATAAGAGGGCAAATAAATTGTATAGGTCAAGAATAAAGCGAGAGGAATTACTACAAATCAATCGGCGCACAGGGTAGATAATACACATGGACCGGACGGGAGGAATCGTAGTGCACTGAAGGAAATAAGTGGGGAAATATCGGCGGCTACGGAAAAAATCTCTCAATTCTCTTTGGACACCAGTGTGCTGCCAGCAGTCGGAAGTGATGCAAGTGTTAGTCCACTGTATAAAAAGTGGCAGAAGGTTAAACCCGGTAACTATAGGCCAGTCAGGCTCACTTTAGTCGTGGGGAAACCTCTGCAGACTGTAATCTGGGAAAAAATACATTTCCACAAAGAAATTATGGTTGAATATAGAAGAGCCAATGCGGTGTAACAAACCGGATAAAGTTTTTTTATGAAGTAACGAATAGGGTGGAGTAAGGTTCCACAGTTGGTGTTGGTATGCATTTTCAAAAAGCGTATCAGATAGTATCATATATGACACTTGTAAGCAAAAAAGAAGCGCACGATTTTAAAGGGACAGAGGCAGCATGGAAACAGAGTTGTCTCGGATACTGAAAGCAGAGTGTAGAGGTGAACGGTTATTATCATTCCTAATATGAGGACTTGCAGATATGCAAACAATGCTGCAGGTGCAATCTATCGAATGATATGCACACATGTGCCATTGTCAGTT